TCCATCCATCCATCCATCCATCCATCCATCCATCCATTCATCCCATCTCATCTCATCTATCCTTCTGTATTGAATGATATCTAGACTTAGATCAGCCCAGAGGTTGTTTAAGGGTTTGATCTGTGAGTTAGCCATGCCCTGACTTAGATCAGCCTATAGGTTGTTTCAGGGTTCTATCTGCGAGAAAGCACGCCCTGACTTAGATCAGTTTAGAGGTTGTTTCGGGGTTCAAATTATGAACTTTTCTTTGCAGAGCAAGGAGAGTGGCTAAAACTCAATCAAATTCCAGTTTGCACCGGGGCAAAAAACAACAGTTTCGGTACGGTAACGATTCCTTTTAACGGCAAAGTCAAGAGACTTAAACTCGTCCATGTCTCAGGAGGGGTGTCTTGGAGTCACGGATCAAATTGGGCCGGAAAATGGGGCGATACTTTATTTAATGATGACCTAGAAATCCACCTTACAGACATCAATAACACACGAGTTGCTCCTCCAACTGGATACCCAGGATTACACAGCAGTGGACGATACTACACCATTGAGAATACCACTGTTATGAGCCCTGAGTTGATATTTCCAACGTTTGTATCCCGTTACACTTTAACAGAAGGAAAAACACTCAGGATTTGGTATGGTGATGACTTGTACGACTATATGGAAAGCGATAACTATGGCCAAACATGTGCTGATTTGTATGGGATGTTTTAAGTTGTACGTACGTAGCAGGGACGGATTTAGCTCTTTTTTTGAAACAATATATTAACAAATTGTATTTGCATAAGGTCTTTGCATATGGGCCGGCCAACCCTTTATTTGATTACTGGATCCGCCCTTCCTTACAGTTGAATGGTTGGTAATATGAGTCGACTGTTGTACGTATAGAATATTGAACGTAGTGGTAGTGAGCGTAAGGGAGAGAGGGCCAAACGGACTACTTCAACGATACGGCGGCCATCTTGAATCGCAAGGCATTGTTGGGCGTCCAGGGGGAGAATTAAGCTTTGCTCCTGATATTCAAACTGTAATGATGTCGATTGATATTAAACGGCTCACCACAAGAGAATACAACAAAAGATGAATTAAGACGATAAATCGATCATCTTTGCCCATAAAGGAAAGACAAACACACAAATCTTTATAAATTTTCCGTCATCTTTGTTTTGTTTCGCACCCTGGCAAGATGGTCGCCGTATCGTGGAAATAGTCCATTGGAAACCAGTATACATATATAGTTAATTTGCTAACCCATGATTATAAGCGATAGAGCACCAATAATTGTTAGAACGTGCATGCAAAAGAAACCGTTTTGGCGAAGCTCCAGTTGACAACGTTTTTTGAAATAGGTGTGTGTACTTCTATTTAGTGGGCTCCTTTTCCTTAAAGGGGATACCCGTCAAGGTCCCAAAGGTATCCCCTGGATATAGTTACCACTGTAAAAATATTCATTTATTAGATAGTTTAAGATAGACTTTTTTTCTTCCCGCAAACGGCAAACGTGACCACGTTTTCATCGTTTTCCTCTGTTTTACTTTACCTCTTGCAAACTTTCATATCACAAAAAAATATCCTTTTGCTTTTCTACAACTTAGATTTTATTGCGATTCCTTTTCACTTATTTAAAATAATTTTACACTGATCAACTGACGTTACACGTTTGCCGTGAACGGCTATCTAAAACTCTCTAATGACGTTTCTTTCGCTTAAAAGCAAGCTATTTTCTAGTTCTGGAAGCAGCGTCAACCTGCCGTTTTAGTCACGTTCAACTCTAAAAATAACAGTGTTTTCATCTTCTATTTCTGAAAACTAGTACAGAACGCCTGCTCTCTGTGATATTTTTTCTCACAAAATTATTGGGAAACAAAAGAATACCTCGTGTGTGGCAACTGCATTTACAATGTTTTCATTGCTACACGCTGATCGAGAAAGGAAAATCGTGCAACACACTGCCATCAGTCAGAGTACGTAGGTACCGGACAATTTATTTGATTGACAACAGTCTATTTTTTGATTTCCCTTTCACGACTATTGTCTCGATCAGCGCATAGCAATGAGAAAATTGGTAAATTTATAAAACGATCTCTCTTGAGCCAAAAATAGGTATTATGGACAATTTAGGAAATCTCGACAATTAATTTAATTCATAGCATAGTTTTAAAAAATTGTGGAAGGAAGGAAGGAAGGGAAAAAGGAGGTAACGAGCTGGCAATGACGCAGCGAAGCACAGCAGGAAAGAGGAACGAATAAATTTTAAAGCTACGGACAGACGGTGCAAGATTGCACGCAATGTTGAAAGAGCCACGTCTGCACTACACAATTCGCAATTTTTTGCTGAAGTAAAAAAAGGAAAGAACGAACGAGTGTTTGAGCCAAGAGTAATTCTAAAGCTCATTGTTAATAAAGAAATTCGTTTAACGATTCTCTGATTACTGTTTTTTATCCCAGACGATAAAAACACATTACTTGCAAAACTTGCGAAAGTTCTAGAAGTTCAAAAAACTAAACTAAATATGAGACTTGAGCATTGATTCCCAAGAGAGTTGAAAGACAAAAGCATGGAGGCCATTGTGGTGCCGTTAACAATGATGCTAATAAAAAAACATTGTGTTAAATGACACCAACGCTACCCCGATAATAAGTGTAATGGCGGCTCAAAGCGAGAGCATCTAGGGGAATTTGAAGTTAAGAGCCTCGGAAATGCGATTTCCAGTGTTTTGATGGGCATCTGCAAGCGCATAAATTTAYGTGACCCTTCTCCCTTTTTTCACTGCCTGCTTTTTCTTGACCCTCCTTTTTTAGCTCAAAAAGTTATGGCCCTCTCCTCCTCCCCTCCCTCCCGCGCTAATATCTGACCAGTCTCTTATGAGGAAGTATTCAAACATAAATACGCTAGAAGCTGACGAACGCTTGAGGAAAGCACCAGATCTTGGCTTATGAGCGAATGTGAGCATTATTTTATTTTATTTTCCTCCAAAGAACAGCACGCGTGCTGTGTAATTGTCTTCAGTTACACGATCGCTAGTTTTCAATATTTCATGACTTATTACCTAGGTTTTCTTAGAAATAAAAATTATTTGAAAAATTATTCATAATCCGATATATAAGTAGGAGCTTAGGAGCTGAAGTCATCTACGTTGTTCAGTATTTTGAGCCCAAACGAGAGCTTCTAGGTTGTGGTACAGGATTATATTAAGACAAACAAATCAGGAAAAATCTCTAGAATGTTGGACGGATTAAGACTGACATTCATTTGTATAATTCTGGAGATCATTTTGATCATTCTTGGGATGGCAAAGACAGGTAAGATAAACCGTTTTTTAAAATACTTATTTCAATAGCGCAGCGCGCTGATTCTAAAAATAGCTTAAAGATTCGGACAAACATTGCATTCTGTTTAACCGCTACGAGGATTATACGAACCGATTTTATTATTTTTACTTAAAGTTACAATAAAAACCCATGTAAACTAAGATCAACTGCGATCGGCTATGAAAATTATCTGCTGAAAGTAAACTTGTTTGTCCGAATTTCGCCTTTGTCTTCGTTTTTATGACGTCACAACTGCGCTGCGCTATTAATAAAGTTCTTCAAAACAAAAACAAAAAACAAAAAAAAGAGATAATCTTTTAGTATTGGCGTAGAATGAAGTCATTAAACCGGTGAAATAGATATTAGACAAATACACATTAGTAGACCCTAATTCCATTGTTTTCTTTCGTGTCAATTTGATTATTATGTTGACTAGTAATTTCCATTTCACGGGTTTAATGCCTTCACTCTAAATAACGATTCTCGGTATATTATATTTTACCATTTATTAAGTAATTTCCTTGAAATAGAAGGAGAAATGTCATTTTCTCCAAACTTTGTCTAGTCGTTCATCTCACCATGGATGTTTCTAGTTCACTCTCATTTTTGAATTACTTTGAAAAAACATCCAAAAATGGTCGAGGGAAGACTGGGTCAAGTTTTACAAATATTGCAATATTTCGACTCCAAAAGTAGAAAAAAAAGTTAAATTTAGTTTTGGGTACAATTTTTATTAGTATATAAAAGGAAAATGGCTAAACTGTTTAAATTTCATGCTTTTATTCCTATTCGCAGAAAAATGCGCAGTGCAAAACATGGGAATTATCTTAAACAGACCTGTGAAAAAAACCAGTTTTGGAAAATTTGTTAGGAAAATTTTTACACGACCTTTGCAAACTCTAAGTTTTCGAGAGTATGTGCCTATGGAATATAATCAGTGAAAACGCCTTGATTGACGTCCACCAAAAACTACTTCGTCGCGGTGACGATTCCGCTCGTGTTATTTAGAAGTATTCTAATAATAATAATAACAATAATAATAATAACAATAATAATAATAATAATAATCTTTATTCATGTGTCAATATACTTTAGCATGAAATATACTAATTGAGGACACAAAATAATAATAATAAAAGAAAAAAAAGAAAATAGTTACCAATAAAATCCATATTAACATTAATATATAAAAATTTAAATATCTTAAATCTATAAAATATCTTACTTAAGAACTACAAAGTAAACAATTAGCTCCACAATCATTAATAATTAATGGTGATAAATCCATATTTCTTATTTCCTTTTAAAAAAATTCTCAAACTAGATTCATCCCTAAGGTCCTTTGTCAAACGACCCCATAAAAACGGCCCTAGATACCTGATAGAATGTTTACCATAGGTAACACTATTGAATCGGGGTATACTAAAATCACAGTTCCTTAAATCATACTGACTAGAGTGACCACAGTAAATCCGTGAAACTTTAGTAATACTAAATAGCACAATTTCATGCAAATTCCATTGTTTTCTATTGTTTAACTAGCACTATTTTGTACTATTTAGTAATTAGTGTTTCACGGATTTACTGTGGTCACTCTATTGGGTTTCGTAAATAAATCTAAAATATATGTAGTGTTTAAAAAACGAGTAGGAGTGTTTTATCAGGTATAAAAGCACGAGGCGTAGCCGAGTGCTTTTATACCTGATAAAACACGATCTACGAGTTTTTTGAACTGCTTAAAACACTTATGAACAATTTATAAGATTTTGGTTCAACTGGAGTCACCATACACGTCACGAACATGGATTTTTATACTTCGATAGAGATTTGACGTCACGGGCATGCGCAACCAGATTCAATAGAAGCTCCCACACGTTGGATATTGCGTGCYAAGGCAAAGACAGGCACGTTAGTCAAAGATCATTAGGGTTCACTATGACCTTGATGAAGCTCTATGTCTTCATCTAAACTTGGATGCATACTTCATCCCTGATGAAGTCATCCTCATAGTATTCGAGTRGTCTTTATATAAAGATCACATGTGTCTTTATATAAAATCACTTGAATACTAATGAAGAGGACTTTATCGGGTATAAAGGTTCATGCATGTGACGTGTATGGTGGCTCCAATTGGACCATAAGYTTATGAATTATTAATGAGTGTTTTAAGTAGGACAAAGACCATGCTATTTAAAAAGATCATTGTAAATCTTAGGGGAGAAAAATATTATCATGGATTTAATAAGATTATTTTCTAATCGTTTGTTTAGAGTTCATACATCTCGGGTGCTTTGAAGACAGTATGGGACAGAGAGGTCTCCCAATATTTTTGGGATACGTGGCAAGTATCCAGGAATGCGCAGATAAAGTAGCCAAGGAAAATTTTGTAGTCTTTGGGTTACAACTTAGAACAGAGTGCTGGAGTGGTCCTAACGGGAAAGAGACATACGATAGGAATGGCCCATCGGATCGCTGTATTAATGGTACTGGAAACGACTTGGCGTTTAACGCCTATAAACACGTAAGTATCTCGGACAATTTAACTGTAATGATCCGAACAAATAAAAAAAAGCTTTAATTTTTTAATTTTGGTTAACCTCTGTTTAGGTACCTTCTGTATGCCCCCCACCCCCCACCCCCCTCTTCTTTACCCTCAATTTTCATTATAGTGCCTATATTTATCAGTGTGTCTTAATAATCTTTTCAAATAATCAGATATTAAAATGAAAACGGTACACCGGTACTATTCATTAAATAATATAATTAAATTCTTATTTCTCTTTTTCTTTTTTTCTTTTTTTTCTTGTGTAGTTGCCAGGTAAGTCTCAACTTGTTTAACATTATTAACGGCTTTGATTCTATTCATGCCTAACCTTTTAACGAGATGTCATATACTTTTTCACCTAATTTCCGCTTCCTGCTGTTTTGACTTCCGGTTAGTCCAAAAAGCTTCCGCATAAACYAACATGGCCAGCGGTGAGACCTCTTGCTTTTACACTTATTTCCGTTTCCKGCKGTTTTGACTTCCGGTTAGTCCAAAAAGCTTCCGCATGAACTAACATGGCCAGCGGTGAGACCTCTTGCTTTTACACTTATTTCCGTTTCCGGCTGTTTTGACTTCCGGTTTGTCCAAAAAGCTTCCCGCTGAAAACCATCTGGTTTTACTTTTCCTAACTAGCGGTGTATTATGGTACTTTAGATATTTTAATAGATTTTATGCTTAGATTTAGCTTAGGAAGCCATACTTTTTAGGAGCCTTTTTTCGATTTTCAAAGGATTTATTTTCGTGAGATTGGAATTTCGTTCAGCTGTTTGATATGAAACTATATAACATTGCTCAATGTTGTTGAGTGTATTATAAACAAGAAACCGCACGATCTTATCGTACAATTCGGAATTGATAGACCGGTTTAATTAAACTGAAAAATATCCTTGTTTGTCTTGTATGTTGTCAGTGAATGGCAGCTGGTCCATTTGGACGCCTTGGGAAGCCTGCTCGGTCACGTGTGGTGGAGGTAGCCAATCACGTAACAGAACCTGTTCCAATCCTCCTCCGTCCTTCGGTGGACTTGATTGCACCGGAGTCAACAAAGAGACACGAAAATGTGGGACAAAGTATTGTCCAGGTAAAACTTCTATTTTGTCAATAAAAACAGGTGTGGGATAAATTTGATATGAACCATCTCCAAGCTAAAACACGCGAATAACGGTTCGAGCATGCGCATTAGAAAAACTTTCATGAATGCCTTCAATTTTTCGGCTTGAGCATGCGCACTAAACGTGTGTCCCAAATTCTAAATTCTATAAATTGACCCATCTCCAAACTACTTTACGGAAATAACGGTTTGAGCATATGCTAGCAGAAGCTATTGGCTGCATGGGCTTGCGCATGCGCACTATAACATTTAAATTTTATCGAGACCCAGAAACAACCTCTGGATTGATCTATCAACAGCCACTGACTTGATTAAACATGCGGGCTGAACCTTTTAGAGTATCTAGGTCGACTTGAAAATACATAGGAAATTTTTAAAATTTAGCAAAGGTACTTACGTCAATATGATCCAACTTTTTCACTCTTTTTTCTCTTTTATCTTTTGCATCAATGCTATAAAGATTCCTGGAAAGGAAAATAAACATAAACATAAAACATCTCATTTTGAATTTGTACCCCAAGTTCCAGTCTAAATATAAGTCACGGCTAGTTTTTTATAACCATCCCACATGGGAAAGAGTGACCGCGGGCGTTTAGTCATCAGTGACGCAAGCGACATATTGGGTATGCTGGTCATAGTCTAGGGGCCGACTAACCTTTCCCTTAGGCTTCGGCCGAGCTTCCTGATCAGTCTGTAATTCCTCCCGGGATAGCGGTGTTGGTGTCGAAATCGCCAGCGTAGCCGTAAGTCCATACGACGGTTCAGCACTCGATGTCTGGAAGTATGGTCCTGGTTATTTAATAATTAATAATAATAATGATAATAATAATAATAATCATAAAACAGTCTTCCGATCCTAGCACACGAACTGCTAATTTGGAGAAGATACGTGTTCAAAGGTGTATTTTACATTAGCAAAAGATTTATTATTATTTGTTAACATTATTTTATAGTAGGCTTTTTCATGCTAGAGCGTACGATAAAATGCGGAAACATGCCAAAATTTGTCTTTTTATTTTTCTTCTTTGAAATCCTTTTTGGCGGGAAAATGACGTCACAAACTTTGCGCAAAGCTTAATTTATGATCAAAATGACAGTATCTTTTGAAAGACCTTCAAGATGATCTAATAGCCGACGGGGTGCCAAGTTTAAGGGAAACTTTTTGTAAGCCATTGACAATTGTTGTTTTTTTACTTTCTTTACGTCAGCCTGTCGCTCCATTATTTATGAACCTATCGCTGATCCAAATAAGATTCTAACGAATCACGGGATTGAAGTGCATATGACTGAAAGTGACCAGATGTGTCGAATCAAGTGTTACCTTAACTATGACTGCGTGTCGTACAACCTTGGTCCTTCACCAACACCTGGAATGATGGTCTGTCAACTGAACGACGCTGATCGTTACCAACACCCACAAGATTACCAGGAAAGACCAGGATACTCGTACCGAGGAATAGAGGTAAGTATATCCACTTTTTATCTTGGCTTATTTAATCTTGCTTGCACAGTACGTTATTGCAATCCCAGCAGATCGATCGTCAATCTTGGTGAAAGCCAACGACTGAAGTGGAATTTAGAAGTTCGTCATTAATTATTTTCATTACTCAGAAAATATCGCGATGCATTCTCGCCGAGCACGAGTGCTAACCTCATGGTCAAACAGAGAGGCATCGATAAATCGTGATAACACAATAAAATCATTCAGTAGAGTCAGTCAAGTAATGCGGCTTTGTTTCTTTACAGAATGCTTGCAGAAGTAATCCATGTGTAGCTAACACCACGTGTCAGGCTGGATTTGGCGAGGAACAGTACCGATGTGTCTGATGCACAGGCTCGTCAAACACTAGTGCTGCGTTTTGCAACTATTCTCAAAGCAATGAAATAATAGACTTAGACTCTTTGCTACTCAAAGTCAATACGCAGGCATCTTACAAGGCAATTCARGGCAATTCATGGACTAGCTCTTACTTACATCTCTGAGCTCATACAAGAATACAAGCCTGTTCGTTCGCTCCGATCATCCTCACACTAMTTGCTGTCTGTTCCTCACGTGAACACACCACATTACGGGCATCACTCTTTATCTGTTACTGGCCCGATACTTTGAAACTCTTTGCCTGATGGCATAAGTACAATTGACTCTTTAGATCTATTTAAGTCATCATTTAAATCATATTTTTTACACCAGTAAATATAATAAATCCGGCGCGCTCATTGGCTACAATTCACGTCTTATGCAGCTATATTCACCTACACGCGCACGCTCGTTTGTCGATTTGTGCCGCTTGCAGAGATAAATGATAAAAAAATCTTAACGCTGTCACAATGTAGCGTCGTGCAAAATTTAAGGGTTTTGCCCTCGGCCTCTTGAATCTCAAAACATGTAAAGTTCTTCAATAAATTCTTATAGATTTTTCAACGGGTTTTGAGCGCGCGCACATCATGGGCTCAAATCGAACGTTCAAAAGTAGGTGGTCACCTTAAATTAATAGGACGTTTGCACGATGTCATCATTTGACTCCCACTACCAAGATGCTTCGCGAAATTTCTTTCTTATTTAAATTTGTATTCCCTCATGAGAATAGCAAGACAATTGGTGCTAATTAACTGAACAAAAGAAAGTGTGCAAGGGAGTCTGGTAGTAGAGGTCAATGACGCCATCGTGCAAACGTCCTATTAAATTTAACCAAAACCAATACGTATCCACTGCTTAGCTACCGTTGAATGACGTAACAAAGATGACGATAATGTTGTATGACGTAACAAAGATGACGATAATGTTGTATGACGTAACAAAGATGACGATAATGTTGTATGACNGGATGGTTTGATAACCTGATCGCCAAAGTGTAGAAGAGGAGTAGACAGATGAGGATTATACTTCGAGGACAAGATAAGGAGTTTAGTTTTTTCTTTGTTAAGTTTAAGTTTATTTTCAGTCATCCAGTACTGGTTAATCAATTGATAAAATCAAAATATAAAGAAATATCCTTAAAACCAGTGTTCGTGGAACTTGAACTAGTAATTTGGAGAAGATACGTGTTCAAAGGTGTATTCTATAGGAAAATAAATTATTATTTATAGTTATTATTTTATAGTTGGCATTTTCTGGCTAGTATGTACTTGCCCACTTGGCCGTAAAATACACCTGAAATCGGTGTTTTTTCAAATATCTTTTCCATTTCAATTCCAAAGTCATAAAAACAGATCCAAGTTTTCAAAATTTGTCGAGATTTTTACTGGTTTGAAAGATTTTGGCGAGAAAATGTTGTCACGAATATGGCGCAAAAGTTTACTCTATGCCCAAAATGACTGTATCTTGTGAAAATCCTTGTCAAAAGTGAATGACGTAATAGCGTGTGAACTTTAAGGAAAACGGTGACAATTATTGTTTCTTTGCTTTCTTTCCTCCAGCCTGTCGCTCCATTATTTTTGAACCAATCGCTGATCCAAATAAGGTTCTAACAAATCACGTGATTGAAGCGTACATGACTGAAAGTGACCAGATGTGTCGCATCCAGTGTTACCTTAACAATGACTGTGTGTCTTACAACCTTGGTCCTTCACYAACGCCTGGAATGATTGTCTGTCAACTGAACGACGCTGATCGTTACCAACACCCACAAGATTACCAGGAAAGACCAGGATACTTTTACCAAGGAATAGAGGTAACTGATATCCACTTTTTATCTTGGCTTATTTAATCTTCCTTGCACAGTACGTTATTGCAATCCCAGCAGAGCGATCGTCAATCTTGGTGAAAGCCAACGACTGAAGTGGAATTTAGAAGTCCGCCATTAATTAATTTCATTACGCAGAAAATATCACGAGCACGGGTGAGATTCAACAAGTACCTTTGCTAACCTCATGGTAAAACAGAGAGGCATCGATAAATCGTATGACCTTGATAACACAATAAAATCATTCAATAAAGTCAGTCAAGTAATGCTACTTGTTTCTTTACAGAATGGTTGCAGAAGTAATCCATGTGTAGCTAACACCACGTGTCAGGCTGGATTTGGCGAGGAACAGTACCGATGTGTCTGATGCACAGGCTCGTCAAACACTAGTGCTGGTTGTGCAACTATTCTCAAGGCAATGAAATATTAGACTTTTAGGCATCATGTTGGATGATGCAACAAAACATGGTGCTTTGCATCATCACATGGTTGCAGCCATGACACAAGGCAGAAACAATCAAATCTGGTGTAAATCTGATTTGCATGAAAAAGAATTGTATCTAGTTTCGCAGGGGAAAGACTCTATAATTGTACCCCTTGTCATATGGCTGCCATCACGTGATGGTGCAAAGCCTGTATTGAAAAAAAAAAAAAAGAATGCGAGGCCACGCGTGGTAGAATGTATTGTTCCAGCCATCATGACTGTTGTTTGAATCAGGATGATGCAACGAAACACTAGTTATTACAAATTCAATCAGAATGACTGACAAAAACCATTACAACTTACAATTTGCACTTGATTTTTCTTGGGCTTTAGTCCCAGTTTTCTGCAATAAATTGTGCACTGCAATATTCTGTATTCTGTGTTTATGAATGTCGCATGTTTTTATCTTCGTTCACCGGTGCAAGGTCATGGAGTGCCTTCCCCCAATCCACTATCCCATTTAACAAGAAAACAAAAATATGTTACACGACGTATTCAGCAGTCTCCCTCGTTGGCGATTCTTAGCGGAAAAGATTATCCAACGAGGGAGACTCCGCTAGTACGGAAATAGCTGAATACGTCGTGTAACATATTTTTGTTTTCTTGTTTAGCTGGATAGTGGACTTCAAAAACCCTGAAAACTTGCAAAAAAAAATTTATGATTAGGAGAAATTTGCCGATCGTATTCACATCATCCATAGTGCAGTTCGAGCTTGGCATGCAACATGTCATACAACGCGTTTACCGAAAGAACCGAAAAGAGCGGGAAAAGTGGATTACCTCAATCGCAAGACCGAGGTTTCGGGAACTTTCCGATTTCAACTGGACACATACCGTTTGGCTTTTCAATCGGAATTTTCTGTTTTTTYCCCCGGGTAAATGGAAAGCACCCCTGATTCTGAATTCATTGTCAAATGCCTATTTAGATACTAGAAAAGTTCCATGTTACTTTACATGGGAGTTAGCCAATCAAAAGAGAGAACATGAAAGATTCAAATGCTTACCACCTGTTCAATACCTATAAATGTTAATTATAATCCATTTTAACAATGATTAAAGCCTATTACTTTGCTAGACAACTAGTCCACCAGCAAAGGTTTCAGTGTAATTTCACTTTACTCAGTAATAATGAAAAATAGAACTTTTTCCGTATTGCTGATATGTTTACTCGTCCCAAGAGTGTTCTCTCAAGGTAAGCTTCTTCCAGCTTCAGTAAGTGTTTTAAAAGTTTGACTTCGGTCAGTGATGAAACTTCAAAATGACACAAACATCGAGGTGCACAAGTTTGAAATTAGATAAAAAGCTTAGTTGATTTTTTTGTTGCTGTTTTCATTTTAAAATTATCGGCAACGCTTTGCTACGAATTTGCAAATATATTAACTACGCATTTTTTTAAAAATTGTTGATTTTCCGATATTTTTTTAAAAGAACAGCGGAATATTCACAAATTACTTTTCGATGTTTACCTGATACTTCATTACTTTTACCGAAATTGGTAATTAGTAATTAGCATTTAGTAATTAACAATTTAGTATATTTTTAGGCTCGAATATTGAGTTTCGCGCGCTGTGATTGGTCGAGCGACCAGTGATTATGAGACGATATTCACTGCTTTTTTTTTTTTTTTTNGACGTAACAAAGATGACGATAATGTTGTATGACGTAACAAAGATGACGATAATGTTGTATGACGTAACAAAGATGACGATAATGTTGTATGACGTTACAAACATGGCCGACATGTTGGATCAAGTAACAAGTATTACTGCGCGCAATGATATAATTAGCCCACAAAAATACTTCATTATAGAAACGTTGTAGTATACAAATATACAATATCTAATGCTTTGCAAAATTTAAATTTGCTCCTAAAATGTACTTGAAAATTCACGGTTTTCAAAGTTTATGCTCGTGAAGCGTCCAATACATGCGGTTTCGATTTGTCAGGTACTAATCCTTTGATTACAAGTTATACGTCGTTGCGGCCATGTTGGTGCAATTAAACAAAAGATTTCTCATTTCAATCCATTATTAAAAGCACCAAGATGGCCGCTATGTTTTTGTCTTTTGACTCTCTTTGAAGTGCTTGCAACCGATCAATGAAATAATTTAGGCCTTAAACATTACCTATTTTCCCTATTACATTGCTAATGAGTCATGTGTCACTCAAATCATGCTTTCCATATTCTTCTAATACAAAGCCTCTTTACACAAAGTATCATTCTGGAAATTTGTTTGCCAAACGTTCTAATTAAATCCCTTTCCGTTAAAAACAATCGGTTTTTTAATGTTCTTAGTCGTGTTCGCAACAAAAGATGTAGTCTTAACATAACTATATTGTTTGACAATAAAGCTACAGTAATTAATATAGGTCTTTCTTACTTTGTTTTTCTCAAAATTATCGGTTGCAAGCACTACATGGGTCTTCATCATGTAGCAACTATTGTGATGCAAAATAAACTTTCCTAGGGATCGAAAAAACATGAATGCTAAGAATCGATTTAAAAAAATGTTTAATATCTACTGAAAATCTAAGGGTATTTATTTTGTATTCCTCCGATCTGAGGAAGAAAAGGTATTTCTGGGGTGCAAACGTTAATGTACATGATCAATATTTTATGACATTATGTTTTATGCATTACTGTCTTATAGTCTTATTTGTTTCAAAAGAAAATGTTCRTAATTACATAGTATTGCATAAGTCAAAGTGAAGTCAGGGTAAACAAGAAACATGACTTAGTTACCTGAAGATCAAACAGAGGCTTCTCTTTATAAGATAGGATAGGATAGGATAGAGGAGAACTTTATTTAGCTACAGTAAACTCATGAGGATTTTACAAAGAAATACTAGATGAATATATCTTAAAACTAATACTAAATCTATAATATAATTTAAAACTGCTAAATCTGTTAAATATTGTACTATAAATTATAAAACACCTGCTCTCCATAATGCTGTGCTAATTAATGCTACTTCTAAGAAGTGATAAGCTTACCGTAATCTTGTCGAAATTTGCTTAGAGTATTTGTCTTTCGCAGATCATTTGGCAGACYGTTTATCGCCGGTATCGTATTATCAAAGAACATCGACTAAAAACTCAAGCATAATGAATAGATTAAGATTGTATCTTATTTGTTTTATTCAAATTATAATTCAGTTGGGAACTTTTGCTGTAGTCAGCGCTGGTAAGTATTCATTGAACCACTTTATAAATTAAGTAACTGCTTTTGTTTTTTTTCAGATCTTTCGATCTAAGCTTGTAGTACTCGCAACTAAATTGCTTATTATAAGTTTTGGTCAATTCATGATTTAAAACTATGCAAAAAGCCATATAAAATAAAGAAATTTTGCTTTTACTGAAATCATAACAAGTTAGAAGTGTTCGTATGTGAGAAAACCAGTCAAGTGTTGATCACTCATTTTTTTTGTCTTTTTGGCATATAACCATGATTGCCCTCCTTAACACTCTTTATAATAATAATAATAATAATAACTTTATTTAAGTCTCTATCTTCTAGCCGGGCACAAGTACCCTACTAATCGGGGAGACTATAACATAATACTAGAAATGTAAATGATAATATAAACAGTAAATAAAATTTNTCCATTGTTTCACAGGTCACTCACTCAAATTCGGTSTATTGATATGAATTTTTTCTCTAGGATACACGCACCTTGGATGCTTCAAAGACACAAAGGATAGAGCGATTCCACTTCTGTTCAAAATGTCTCGCCAACTAACCACTCAACAAGTAGTAACAAACTGCGCGAGTAAAGCAAAGCAAAAGGGTTATGTGGTATTCTCTATACAGTACGAAATAGAGTGCTACAGTGGTCCTAATGCTGAGCAGACATACTATCAATATGGTGAAGCGAATAACTGTGAACATGGTGTTGGTGGAGCATGGGCTTCAGACGTATATACYTTCAAAGGTGCTATAAAACAACTAATGATCCTCGTCACATTACGACTAATTGGCTTACAAGGCAGAAACCAGGCCCTTTTAAAAATAACAAAATRAGAATGGGAAATGGGAAATGAGAATGCGATATCAGAATAAGATTAAGAATGGGAATAAAAATGGGCATAAGAATGAGACAAAAAAAAAAAAGAGAATGATGTAAGGAATAACAGTAGAAACTAATGAGGATTAGATAAAAAGAATGAGAATATCAATGAGAAAAATTACGAGAACCAAAATAAAAAACTAGAATAATTAAAAGAACAGGAATGGAAATAAGAAAGGTGATATTGGATATATGAATATATTTAGAGAAACCTGGCAACGCTTTCCACACTATGCCGGATAAATTTGAATCCGCAACTTTCACACCGAAACCGAAAAAAARGTTTTCCGTCCACACATGAAAACAGATAAAATGTTTCGCGTCCACACTAGGCCAATCAGAGGCGGCAAAAACGCTTCATTGCACATCTGAGCATATGCATCGAAGCTGAAATTGAGCCTGCAGTGAATTTTTAGCCTTCCCAYCGTGTTCCCATGACAATCATGACGTCATCGTATTCGAAAAATTTCGGATACGAAATGTTTCGTCCACACTAATWTGACTAGCCGGCGTTTTCAAATTGTTCCRCTCTGGAGACCGTATTCGAAAAAATTCGTTTTCGGTGAAGAATTCTTCCCGATTCGCCCGCATTAGTGTGGACGGTAGGCCTAACCGAATAAATAAAAATTAGGATTCAAATTTATCCGGCATAGTGTGGACAGGGGCCTAAAACTYTCCCTTCTTTACTACCAATATACGTCACTTTTGGTAACATCTGTGCTTTGACTACTGGGCAATTAAAATTCTAAGCTTGCAGGATCTTTAATAAGGTCGTATGTGTATTTTGATTTCTGGTTTCAGATCGTAGAAATAGTAATGCTGATACTTTAAGGACTTATTTTGACATGTTTTAACAGTCGCTAGTTGCATATCAATTGCCCCCCAGTCGACTCCAAAGTCACGTGATTGATAGCAAATTGTATTCGTATTTTCTATTTCAGTCCATCGTCACATGACATTCCTTCCTCCCTTCAAAAACAAATTAAAATGCTCGTAAACCACGTGATTGAAGAGCATCTACTAGAGAAAGATTTGTGCAGCGAGATGTGTTACCTTAACAATGACTGCGTGTCGTACAACCTTGGTCCTTCACCAGCACCTGGAATGATGGTCTGTCAACTGAACGACGCTGATCGTTACCAACACCCACAAGATTACCAGGAAAGACCAGGATACTCCTATGTAGAAAACAAGGAAAACTATTACACCTAGATTAAAGGGGGGTTTATATAGCCCGTCTATAACGAAGTCGTAGAATTACAGTGTGTCAATCAGCTGATAAATGTCTGATTCTCATTATCTGCTTCAAATGGTTGACCACATTGAACATTGAACAGCATCTGCTGTCAGCCAGAAAGAGTTCTCATTGAAAGCTTGTGATTCAACTGATGAACATTCCGTACGAGACAAGAAATGACATCAGAGTCAACGCGTAAAGGCGCGATGATTACACGGAACCATTTTCTCTGCAACTTGTATTGTAAATGTATTGGGACACAAGTAGCAAGAGGGTTTACAAGGTGTAACGGCCGGAGACGCAATCGTTGACCAAAGTAGAAACGAATTCTACTTTTGGAAATAATTGCTGCAACTTCTCTCGCTTTTTTTATTTATTTATTTATTTGCGGTGTAGGTTACACGCTGCAATGCTTCATGCAACGTGTGTCGCAACGCCGTTGCGAAGGAGGTTGCAGAGAAAATTGCTCCGTTAAATCGCGCATTTCGCAGAGTAGAATAAAATTGGAACCTTCTTTGTGAAGCCGATCACGCTAGCTTTTCCTGCATGGCGGCCATTTTGGAATCCACTTTTCCAAAATCCTTGATCTGCCTTTACACTTAAATAATCTTATTTTGAAGAGAATGGCATGCACTTGATCTGAAATGTRATTATATTACGCTCAAGTTAATGTAGAGAGGCCTATTAATGACTAATTAAGCCGACGACACACGATTTTATACGCTTGTTGAAGCAAATTTTGATCATCGCCCGAAAAATCGCCGTGTCTGCTACTGCGACGGTGAATTTCCAGAGCGATCTAAATCGCCGGTTTCTGGCATGTCACATATTGGCGATCAAAATTGCYGACGACCAAAATTCACTCCACAAACGTATTGATGGTTCAACCATTACCAAGAGAATTAAATAACAAAAGACACGGCGGCCATGTTGGAGGATATGACAAAAGAATTAATTGACAATTCTTTTGTTAAATTCTTCAAACATGGCCGACGTGAAAACCATGTCAATAAAATCGCCTAGTGTTTCGTCGGCTGAACAGCCACATGAAATTAGCGTCTTCATTCATTTTTCATAGTGTATTCATTGCTCAAAGCGAAGTCACTCGCAAATATATATAAAAATAACAATAAAATCAAAAATAACGCAATAAGATACAACAGAGGCGAACGCTTATTAAACGACATAAACTTCGCGAGCTTACCTGACTCCTTTTCCCCGTAAATGTCAGGTCCTGAAGAAGGATACCGAACATAGCTAACGTTTTCGGAATGTCCTGCAAAAATGAACGTATCGGTGCTCGAGCAGTGACCTGTCGGGTCAAAAAGCCTGCGTTTTTTAGTGGCCTGCTGTTAGAAAAAGGAAAAGAGAGGGGCGATGCATAGCAACTAGAGCTGGGATCCAAAACATCAATGAGGTCTACAATTATTGATGCATATAATCAAATGTATGATGCGATTTATTTAAACGGGATTAAAACAGCAAATAATAAAACAAAGTTCGATTATAATTAAAAATATAAGAATAAAATATACTTGTCTACATTGAACAGAACGCGCTGATCTTCGTGAAAATTGGAGGTTCATACAAAATAACTATGAAGTCAGAGTTTATCAAAAGAGAGGAGAAGAGAGGAGAAGAGACGAGCAGAGCAAAAACAAGTAGATACTAAAACAACATGCGTGACATCATTCTGCATGCCGTCCGTAAAATATTTTGCTAAAATGTCCTTTAAGATGATGGAGAGGTCCTGACATTCTGCTCCCCACTCCCCCCCAATCGTTCGACACGAAATACAGAGCTGCGTTAACTACAAAAAGTTAAAATACCACTGATGATTTTTTTTCACTCAAATATTTCAATAAATAAGAAAAATTCCGCGGGGAGAATTTCTTTACTTGTTGTAGAAATTAGGCGCCATTAGTTTAGGTTTTTGGCTTTTCCGTGAGTTACTAGATCTTGGTTTCTGTGAAGAACCTTCATGTTTGATGTCCTTTGAAACATCACTTCCTTGATTTATCTGCTGGTCCTTTATATTGGGGGACTCAGACAGATTCATTGGTTTGGGACTAGAAGGTCCCTTGTTGGCCCCTAATACTCCATCTTGCAATGACAAGTCTTTTGTTTGGTCTTTCATCGATTTATAGTCAGTAAAGCTTGATGGAGGTATCAGAACACCTTGAGGGCTTGCTTGTAAAGGGACGTTATTGTGTTCTGGCTCGCTAGTGCCAGTCTTTGACGGTGTGTCAYGTGACTGGTCGTCTTCTGTTGCGTCATTGGCTGCTGGTTTAGTTGGTGTGTCCGGTTTAGAAGATAGGTTTCGACGAGTCACCTGGAAGATTGAAAATAGTAAATTAACAAAAAATAGACAGGAAACAGCCAGACGGAATGACAGGCCAACCGACAGATAGACACATGGTAAGAAAAACAGACAGAGTGGCAGAATGTAAGACAGACAGACAGACAAACAAACAGAGAGGCAGAATATAAGACAGACAGACAGATGGAATGACAGACCAACCGATAGATAGACACATGGTAAGAAAAACA